AGGTATATTCTTACATTAAGTGCGTAAATTGTCACAGGACATTCAAAGCCAGCATTTGCCACCTTTATCTGAGCGATCACCTGAGAGTCACAAATGAGGCACCCCCGTTTGTTTGTGTGAGCAGGGCTCTGCAGGCCCCATAACGCACATGTAAAAGTCACCAAACCTAGAAACACAAAGCCGAACTTCAAGGTCCAACACCAATGTAAAACACACAATGATTGTTTTAAAACTGTTTTATAACATCATCAGCGAGGGCTCTTACTTCTTGCAGTGGATCTTTGTTTTAGATATGCTGGATAGCTTGTTTTAATTCAGTTTATGGGCACATCCTGTGCACTCCTGCACAGTTGAGTAATCCCATTCAATTCCGAAGGCTTATTTATGAGCACAAAGATGACTTACAGTAATAAAAAAGCTACACCCTTGTCGTTCCAGCGCTCACCTGCTTACTGGGAATGTTATCATAATACAAACAATGAAAAAAATAACAAACTCTGTGTTCAACCATGTCTGAGCAAAGCACAGCTATGCGGAGAAGTACAAACACGGATCCTATCACAGCTTCCAATTCCTGCACCAGCTCAAGCTGTGAAGGAAGTTTTACCTGCAGTTCTCAGGAAGATGAAGAGTTCTTGTTTCAGAGACAGCAGTGTCTGCCATTGTTTCTTTTATAGGAAAAAAGCACATGCTTTTTAAAATGTTATCAGCATTGCTTTCTTTCTGATTTTGTATCAGAACAGAATGCATATGCAAACAACTTTTGCAATTATATTACAAAGAAGTATGCCAGATAAATTTTAACAGATTACAGATCTGCAAGCTATTTTTTTTATTAAGTCCTCGCTTTTTTATCTTTTATTTTCTCTCTTGTACTCGTTGATGCCAATATTATTATTACCACCAGTGTTATGCCTCTATGTCTCTGTCTTTCTTACTCTTCATGAAACATTGCCCTCTCTTACCCACCTTTTCATCCCATTTGCTTCTTGTATCTCCCTGCCGAAGACAGTGCTCCAGCTAGGCACAGGTTAATATCCTGGGGTAGGGACACCTCACAGGGAAGTGGATACCAACCCATCCTGAGCTATCGAGACTGCATCTATCTATACAGAGGCAGTTGAGGCAGAGGCTTTTGCCAGCATAAATCCAATGGGGCTGTATAAACAGCAAAGGACCAGGGACAACGAGGTCTGGGGAAATTGCTTCCATGTGATTAGCTGAGCCAATGAGACCCAAACTTCAAAGAAGGATCAGATTATGCAAAATTTTTGAGGAATATTTCAGACAAAATTGTTACTTGGTGTCTACCAAATGCATCCTTTATTCAGGCTTCGAAGATGGCTGAAAGAAGAAAGCAAGCTAAGGCTTTGCCTATAACTCCACAGCTTACCCCATCAGTGTCATGTGCTACACCAGCATGCCAGTGCCAGGCAGGGAGACAGCAATGAAGTCCTTCCCCTGATTTGTGTCACCTGCTAACACCTCCTAGCTGATGTTAGCTCACAGCAGAGAGCTGCTGCTTCGTATCAGCTGGAAGAGTAGGGGAACTGAGGAGAGCAAGGAGAGACTGTGATTTCAAACATCTGTGCTTTATTTATTTATCTGTTTGTTAGATTTTTATCTTGGGCCTATCAGCTCTGTACTCTGAAAGTATGATCCACGTCACACTCTTGCATATCTTCGGTACTTCTTGTCAAAAGCCATCCTCTCACCAGCCTGCAGGACTTCAGCTTGGCGCTTTTTTGATGAGCAATGTAGTTAAATTAAATCAGCAAGCCATAGGTCTCTTGATTGGATAGCATTCCTAAAGATTCAGCTGTCTAAGATTGATACTCCTGAACAGTTGTTATAAAAACTTTGCAACTTCAAAGAAAAATAAATACTCAGAATAAAATATTTTGTTTCCTGTGAAAGCTCATAATTAAAATGCATACATATCAGAGTAATATAGTCTTCAGCTATATCACAAAGAAAAGTTTCCTGCACAGTTTATAAAAAGACAATCAGTAGAGCTGAGAAGAAATGACTAGTAAGTGGCCTGTTTGGTGCATAATGAGTCAAGCTTCTATCCTGATTTTGGCTGTGATAGAGTTAATTTTCCTCCTAGTAACTGGTATGGTGCTGGCTTTTGGATTTCGGATGAGAACAATGCTGACTGCATGCGGATGTTTCCTTTGTTGCAGAGCAGTGCTTACACCAAGCCAAGGACTTCTCAGCTCCTCGCTCTGTCCTGCCAGCAAGCAGGGGATGCATGAGGAGCTGGGAAGGGACAGACCCAGGACCACTGACCCAAAAAGGGATGTCCTATTCCATATGGTGTCATGTTGGACAATGGAACTGGGGGCAATTGGCTGGGGAGACTGGCTGATTATTGAGCAATTGCATTGTGCATCACTTGTTTTGGGTATTCCCTCCCCCCCCTTTCTTCGCCTATTAAACTGTCCTTATCTCAACCCATGAGTTTTACTTTTTTCTTTTTGATTCTTTCCTCTGTGGGGCGAGTGAGCAAACAGCTGCATGGTGCTTAGCTGCCTGCCGGGTTAAGCTACAACAACTTTGCATAGTACTCAGGTCTTATGGCTATAGATGCTGCATGGAATAAAAACACTAAGAGTTGAACAGGGGCAAAAAAATGGTTTTCACCATATATTTTTGTAGGAGTCTGTGTTGGCAGGAAGCGGAGAAACAGGAGTCAACGACCAGGGGTAAATAAAACTGAATAACCTTTTGAAAAAGCAAACAAATGAGTGGGCACACGCCGACCCCCCCCCAAATCCTCTCCCAGGCAGCGCAAGGTGGCCGAGCGCGCGGGCGGCGGTACCATGGACAGCGCTCCCACTGCTGCCGGGAATCAGGCACGGGAAAGCCATAAAATAATAATTCTGGCGGCAAAAAAATAATAATATATATATATAAAATAATAAAATAAATTGAGGTGCCAGCCAGCAATTCGCCAGGAGCTGCGGGATCAGCCTGCTCGCTCGGCACGCACGCGAGCGGCGCGTGCGGGACCTTTGTGCAGCCACGTTATCAACTACTCCTTTGTGCCAAGGTTTCCGCCGCTGGAAGCCGGGATCACAGCTAGCACAAGGAGAGCGAGCCAGGAGGGTTTGTTAGCCCTGCTCCGGGCTTTTTTTTTATGGCCATTGCTGAATGGGTTTAGACTTCACTCTGTTGATTCACCTGCCTCAGCAGTTACCGTGTTATTATTAGGTAGGCGCAAAAGCTGCAAAATTCAGTTGCGATAAAACATAAATAAAAGTTTATTGCAGGGTGTGTAAACCTAAAATTTTGAATTAATCAAGAGAGCAGCTTACAGGCAACTTCAAAGGCCATCTTACGTTGTTATGCTTAACTGTGTGCTATCAGGTACAGTAAAAAAAAGTTAAACACATTTTCTTTTGGCCAAACTATTTGTCCTGCAGGTTGATGCTGCAGCAGGGGACACTGTGACTCCTCCCAGGTTTTCATTTCGGGCATACAGGGATTTCCTATTAGAAATTTCGTATCCTATTGCTTCTGAAGGAAGGGATGCCATTAAAACTTATTTTTCCCTAGATAACGTGATGCTATAGCAAACTTGAAACAGCTGTAGAGAAGCTGATGTGGATCTGCTGACAGCGAAGTTCACTAGTTTTTCCAAAAAGCTCCAAAAAGACTTGAAACAGCTCGCTACATGCCAGATGCTAACGCTCTTATTCAAGCCAATTTGGTATCGCAAAAATCAGAAACTGAATTCAGAGGTACAATTGGAAAACATACAGAGCCAACCAACAAAGCCATCTGATGCTTCCCATTAGTAAAACAAAACATTTCTTGCTCAAATGAAAGATTTTTCCGAGAGTATCAAGCATTAAGGTTTGTAACATTTGCAGGAAACACAAACTGAGGCTGAGAGAAAGGGCTCGACAATTTTTGGTGGGTTATGGCAGTACTCAGAACTGTCTGTAATGTTTCTTTTCACTCAGACAGACACGCACCTCAGCTTGATGCTGTTCATTTACAATCCACAAATTTTATTTTGAAATATCATCAAAATTGACACTTTCATGAAAAAAATCAATATTATATATGTATATATATATACACACATATATATTAATTAAAATGCATAGCTCTGTCAAGGGATGACAAGGTATTTGTTTCCAACATTTGCCTCAGGCTTGTCCTGGTTTCAGTTTTATTCAGCCTACCCACCCAATCCTGCATGCAGACTCTGGTCCTGCACCACCAGGAATCTCAGGGCCACGTCCCCACACTATCACCAAGGTGTACACAGAGAATGATAACTGTAACTGCAGAACACACCCATCGCTATCCCTCCAATATTTCTGGAAATAAGAAAGAGGCTGACTTCCCTCTGAGTGCCAAGCAGCAAGCTGCCACAAAAATAAAGGCAAACCTCTGAGCAGTCAGTGGCTTTTGAATACCAGAAGCCTGGAGCTAGATGCTCACCTTTCATTTTTCCTGCTTCCATTTTGGGAAATAACATTTCTCACTCCCAGTTCTCAGAACATTTGAGGTTATGACCACAAAATTGCCGAGGTGCCACAGGTGACAGCAGCATCTGAGTGAAGTGAGCTCACCACTTGCTGACCCCAAGGTTACAGCCAGCAATGCTCCTCAGCTTTCACCATCTTTCCCAACAGGAAACCCTAATGAAAATCCAGAGCCCTCCTATCCCAAAACCAAATTTTTTTTTTTCAAGCCTTTTTCAACAAACAGCTTCTAGGATGCTTCAGCAATGCAAAAAGAAATGAGGTTAATTGGACATTTTGGTAGCTTTCCCCCAAATAATGAAAGTGTAACTGATTTCAGCCAAAAGACTTGTCACAACCAGAAAAGAACCACACGAACATTTGCTCTGAGAGTATTTCTGTAACAAATTTGGGTAAGCAGAGCAACAGAACAGCACAAGTCTACCTATATTTATCCTGGTCTGGCTATGAGCACTACAGCAGTGGTAACTTCAGAAAACCAAGAAATATTCTTCCTACCTGAGATGTGAGTGAGGCCTGGGGGTACTTCTACATGTTCTGCACATCAGGCTGGGTCTTTCCTCCCTGCGTGCTCCAAAAAATAACCTCTGGCTGGTGAGAAAGCTCCAGCACCCCATGCTGCCTGGTTTTGTCTATCTCACCTCCAGGTGCCCCTCATCAAGCCTGGGGAGGGAACAAGCCACAGGCTGGGAGAATGATTGTGCCTGCAGAAGCCTGCATCCAGTTGTCATCCTTCCCAAGGCATTTCTCATGTGTAACAGAAGTCTCTACCACTTCCACCCTCTCAATCCACCCCAAATAACAGGGTAAAAATCGGATAAGGCATCTGCTGTGCAATCTGCTTCCTAGGGCATTGGGAAAGGGGGCATGGCCTGGGGGAACCATCTCCCTGTGGGAGAAAAGCACCATCCCTTGCACGGAACAACGCCTCACCGCTGGAAATAGTTTGGAAGTGACTGGAAAAAAGTGCACAGTGCAAGAAGCATAAGGAGGCACACAACCCATGCTCCAAGTCACTTTTAATGCTGCTGGGCCTCGTGTCCCTTGTCACGGACAGGACAGCACCTCCCCAGGACACGGGGAGCAGCTGAGGGGCTGAGAACTGCACAGACGGGGACACTGACCAAAACCTCGGGCAGGCTCTCAGCTGTGCCATCGCTGTAGGGTTAAGCGTGTAGGTGTGGGAGTTATCCAAAAATCGCCTTGCCAGCATTTTGAGGGAGCTTCGTGTATCACTGGGACTTAAATCAGCATTAGTACCGGTAGGGGAAAAAACAAGGGAAAAGTCAAAAAGAGCAGGCAGGTAAAGACAAAACACAAACCAAAGAGAAACTTTTCCCAGCAGCAGCTGAACTCCAAGGAAAGGCAGCTATACAGAAGCATTTAGCCCCCTGCCCGCTGCCTTTTTCCCGTGCCTCTTTCCCAAAGAGCCCGGTGCCCGCTCCCAACTTGCAAAAAGCAGACTTCGGAGGAGGATGGCAGCGGCAGGCGGGACACGGGGCTGCCGGAGGAGCAGCCCTGCCTCCTCCTTTCTCTGCTCCCGGCCAGAAGCGGGGCAGCCCCGGAGCCGCACGGGGAGGAAAGGGGGGGGTCGGGGCCGGATCCTGCGCGCATCCCGCCCCGCAGCCGGCAGCCACCGGGCCCCGGCAAAATATTGACTGTAGATAAGCCGGGTTCTCGTTTCTGTCCGAGCGTTATTATTTCCTATTATTTATTTTTTTATTTCTTTATGGGGAGCAGGTGATGCCGCTAAAACCGTCCCGGGCTCGTTTCAAAGCGCGCACCTGAGAGGGGCGTGGAGCGGGGAAACGCTGCAGGATGCCGCAGGAGCATCCGCCGGGGGAGCCCCCGAGGAAAGAGGCAGGAGAAGGGAAGTTCCCAAAATTTCGGGAGCAATCCCTGCCGTCCGCCGGGTCTCTGCCCCTCGTACAGCCTCGGGATCCTCCAGCTGTGCCGCTGAGCATCGCGTAGGGACAACCCCACCACCAAAAAAAAAAAAGAAAAAAAAATCAACCAAGGGAACAAAAACGAACGCCAGAGATCCTAAAAAAAAACCCCACACATAAAAGCAGATATGGGTGGTTGGAGATGAAACGAGACGCGCTGACCCCGGCGGGTCCGGGGGGGCTGCTTGTCCCCAAGAGGTCCTTTAAGCCCCCTCCCCTCCTAACCTGGGGTACGGTGCCGGTGGGCTGCGGGCTGTGATTTCGGCGAGCCCCCCTGTCATTAAAGGGACACTTTGACAAGCTCGTGGCACGAAACCCAACCGCTCGGGAGGCAGCGCTTGGGGAAAGGGTTAACCCGGCGGCCGCGAGGCGTATGAAATGATGGTAAATTACCCGGCGCGTTCTCCCGGGGAAGAAATTAGACTTCAAAAGGGCTGGAGCCCTCCTGAATATATATCAAGCAGATGGGCTGATGCGCTGTCTCGCTGATGTGCAGTTGATTAACCGCCCCATAAAAGTGCAGCAGCCCCGCTCGCCCGCCGGCGGGTGCGCGCCGCCGCCCGCCGCTGTCCCGGGCACCCCGGCGGGAGCGCGCTTCGCTGAGGGGCAGGGGGAGAGGGGGGCAAAAGGGGGGGAAGGAGGAGAGGAAGGGGATGGAGGGGAAATGAGGAGGGAATAAGGAGAGGGGAGAGCCGGGGAAGAAGGAAAAAATGAAATAATACATAAGGAAAAAGGAAAGTAAAAGAGAAAAAAAGGGAAAAGGGAAAGGGAAAAGAAAGGGAATAGGGAAAAGACAAAGAAAAGAAAAGAAAAGAAAAGAAAGAAAAGAAAAGAAACGAAAAGAAAGAAACAGAAAAGAAAAGAAAAGAAAAGACAGAAAAGAAAGGGAAAGAAAAGAAAAGAAAGGAAAGAAGAAAGAAAAGAAAGGAAAGCAAAGGAAAAAGAAAGAAAGGAAACGAAAGGAAAGCAAGGAAACTAAAAGGGAAGGAAATGGAAAGGGAAAAGGAATGGAAAGGGAAAAGGAAGGGAAAGGGAAAAAGTAAGGGAAAGGGAAAGGAAAGGAAAGGGGAAGGGAAAGGAAAGGAAGGGGAAATAGGGAAAGGAGGGGGAGAGGAGAGGAGAGGAGAGGAGAGGGAGGAGCGGAGAGGAGAGGAGAGGCGAGAGAGGAGAGATTGGAGAGGAGAGGAGAGGCCTTTTCCTTCTTCCTATCCCTTCCTTCCCTCCCTACCTTTTTTCCCTCCCTCCCAGGCCCTCCTCCCTTCCCTCCCTTCCTTCCTTCCCTGTCCCCGCCCTTCCCTTCCTCCCCCCTTCCCTTCCCTCCCTTCCCGCCCTCCCTTCCCTCCTCCCTTCCCTTCCCTTCCCTTCCCTCCCGTCCTTCCCTTAAGGAAAGGAAAGGAAGGGCGGTGTGAAATGCAAGATCTCTGCCAGCAGCAGGATTTGCCCCCCAAGCCCCAACCCTCGCACTCCCTGGCAGAGGGGACACAAACACCCCCGGTGACACCGAGCGGGGGGCAAAAACGAGCCGGGGCGCTGCAGGAGGGGCTGGGGGGAGATCAGGGGAGGCAGCCCCAATCCCGTCCCGGCTGCTGCACGGGGAGGGCAGAAAGCCCGTGGACACGTCCTGGCTGGGCTCCCAAAAGCATCCCTGCCTTCTGATAGCGCTTGGGGAGCCTGGAAGTGGCCAAAACCCCAAGAACCGCGCTCGTCGCAGCCGCTGCCGCACGCCCTCGGCTCCCCGGGGGTGCCTCAGCTCTGCAGGAGGACTTTTGGGGGGCTCCCCCCCACCCCAGACAAACGAGTCCCCAATGTGTGTGTAGAGGGGGCTTTCCGCCGGCAGCCCCCAGCCCCGCAGCGAGGCCAGCACGGGGGTGCCGCGATGGGGAAGGGTGGCGGGGGCTTTGCTGGCCCCGGGGGGGGCCACCAGCGGGTGACATTCCTGCGGGGGGACAGCAGCGACCCGGCGGCTTTGCAGCAGGTGCAAGACCCGAGCATCCCCGGAGGGGGATACCCACGCGTGTGTGACCCCCCCCGTCCCTTTTTTCCCCCCTTTCTCCCCCCCTTTCCATCGGCTGCGGCCCCCCCCGGGTGTGCCCGGCCGTGCCCCGGCGTGCTGCTGCTGCCGGCCGCCACCGCGCTGCTGTCGGGGCGATGGGGGAGCGGGGCGGGGGGGCGTGAATGCTGGCTGTTGTTGCTCGGCCAGGGTTGGGGGGGGGTCGGCAGACGAAGGGGGGGCCCACGGCGGAGCTCCCCGCGGGTGCGCAGCCCCCTGGGGGGCCGCCTGAAAAGCCGCGGCGCTCACCAGCTGACAACGCGTGCTCCGCTCCAGACACGGCGCACCGCGGCCGGGACAGCGGCCAGCCCAAATTCCCCCCCCCCTCCTCCTCCTTACAGCCCCCCCCAGACTTGTCCGCCCCTTCGCATTGTCCGCCCCGCTCTAATTAAGAAACGCTGCCCCCCCCTCCTTTCCCCTTTCCCCTCCCCGGGGGCCAGAGGTTGAGCAAACAGCAGCCGGCTCGCTGCGAAAAGGCAGCGAGGAGCTGCGGGCACCGCGCTGCGAATGGGGACCCCCCCCTGCTCGTCCCCTGTCCCCAGTGTGTCCCCCCCCACCCCACCACCACCGCCGCCGTGGGAGGGGGACGGGGACACGGCCCCCGCTGCCCCCCACGCGTGTCCGGCGGGACACGGGCTCACGCACAAAGGAGACCGCCTCCCCCGGAGGATACGGAGTGTGCAGCCAAAATTTAACGCTCGGGTAGTGCGCTGTTTTCAAAGAAAAGCCCCTGAAAAAAAAAAAAAAAAAGAAAAAAGAAAAAAAAAAAGCTCTAAAACCCCACAAAGCCAGGGCCAGGCGGGGCCGGTGCGCGTCCCCGCTCTTGTTCCAAACTTTGCGCTCGTCCGTGCAAAACAAACACTGTCGCGGGCTCAATAAAGCGATTTATCCATCTTCATTACTTAAAGAAATGTTGTCTCTTTGTTTGTTTGGGAGATATTAAGCATGCTTAGCTTGCAACACATAGTTGATTCCTTCGCTAGTATCTTGGATACTTGGATCCGACTTTGGAAGGTAGAAGCTAATTGCTAATAATGGAGAGAAAGGAACCAGCCAGCATAGCGGGAGTGGCCTGGCATATGGGGAATGAGCAGCCTGAAATACTCAATATTCAAGTTTCCAAAATATTAATGAGATTATAGCAACCTGCAGCTATACGTTACAGCTTGTTAACGGAGTGAGGGGTGGGGGGGCTGGGGGGCTGCCAAGCGGTTGTTATGCAAACTCTATGGCTGAACCTGAAAATGGAAATGCGGCCGGGTATCTCTTTCAAAGAAGTGTTAAAAAAAAAAAAAAAAAAAAAAAAAAGATAAAAAAAAAAGACCCTCAGACAACGAAAGCTCCGCCGTGGCCGCGAGGACCCACTGCGCTCAGCGGCCAGGGCGAGAGGGACCCGCTGCGGGCGGCGGGGGGGCCCCGTCCCGACCCCTCTGCGCTCCCCAAATTGCGCCCCCGGCTCGCTGGGAAACGAAACCGAACCCGAACTAGCGCAGAACGGGCTAAAACCCCCCAAACTTTCCCGGCGGGCCAGGAGGGAAGGAAGGGACGGTTCGGGAGGGAGCTGACCCCGGGGCTGAACTTTTCACCCGGCGGGACCGGCCCCCGCCCGCCCGCCCGGCTCGGGGTTATCGCGGGGCAGGTGCGCGGTGTTTGGCACCTGCGGGGACCGGCACGGCTCGGCTCGGCTCGGCTCGGCTCCCCTCTCCCCAAAATCCGGCAGCGAGCCCCGCTCCCCCGCCCCGAGCCCCCCCGGTTTCCCTGCCCGCGGCTCCGGGGACCCCCCCGTGTTTTTTGGTGGGGAGGCTTGGCCGGGGAGGGGAGGTAACGCAACATCTCTTCGGTTTGTGTTTTTGTTCGTTTGTTGTTTTTTTTTATTATTTATTTATTTGATCTCGAAAAAATAATAATAATACATAAAACAATGGCAGCTGGCTGGGCTAAAATTAAAATAAACGATTCTCGTCGTAGAAAAGTTTTGTTAAAAAACAAAACAAAAAAAAAAAAAACAACAAAAAGGCAGAAACAGTAGCAAACACTCCGTAATAAATAAGTTTCCTAATACCACAAAAAGCAAAATAAAACGGGGCACGGGAGTTTGACACGACAGGACCGTTTTTCGTTTCTCGGCGAGCGCGCTGGGGCGCAGCGGCCGGCCGGAGCTGTCCCCTGGCAGCCGCAGGATTAAAGTGCTTGCGCCGGGATCCCCCCGACGGCGGGCAGGGGAAGCCGCCTGCCCCCGCTCAGCGCGGGACGGGCCCGCATGCGGGGTGCCGGGGGTCGCTGCGGGAGGGCCGGCGGCGGCTTCTGGGCACGGGGAGCTCTAGGGGCGGCAGCTACACATCGGGAGGAAGGTACAAACGCGGACGGGGCGGCTGAGCCGCCCAAGAGGAGCCCTTCCCGGGGCGCCCCGAGGGGCCGCCGGCGGCCAAGTCCGTGCTGGGGCGGGCGGCAGCGCCCTAGCTGGCCTCGTCCGAGTCACTGTAGTGCGAGCGGGGCGAGAACTCCCCGTCGCTGCGGTGGGAGCGCGGCGACGCCTTGCTCCGCTCCTGCTGCTGCTGGTGCTGGTGCTGCGGGTGCTGCGGGTGGTGGCCGGGCTGCGGCACGAGGAGCGCGGGCGACGGCGCTTTGGGTCCCAGCAGGGCGCCCTCCGGGAAGGACGGGAAGCGCAGCGGGTCCAGCGGCACCGGGAAGCCCCCCGCGGCCGGCGGCGGGGGGAAGCGAGTCCTGCCGTGCCCGTGCCCGTGCCCGTGCCCGAGGGGGGGCGGCCCGGCCGGCGGCGGCCCCGGCAGCGCAGCCCCGTCCGCGGCGCAGGGCGGCTCGAAGGGGGCCCCGCGGGGCTCGGCTTTGCCCGGCGGCGGCTCCGCAGCAGCGGCCGTGGCCGTGGCGGCCGCGGCGGGGCCGTGCAGCAGCTCGGCCAGGGCGCTGATGTAGATCTGCGCCATCTGCAGCGTCTCGTACTTGGAGAGCTTCTTGTCGTTGTTGAAGGAGGGGATGACATTGCGCAGCTGGTCGAAGGCGTGGTTCAGCCCGTGCATCCGCCGCCGCTCCCGCGCGTTGGCCGCCAGCCGCCGCTGCTTCTGCACGCCGCTCACCTGCGGGCGGGCACCGCCACCTCCACCCCCTGCACCTCCACCTCCGCCTCCACCACCCCGCGCCCTGCCGCCGCCCGCCGCCCCCCGCGCCCCGCCGGGGCCGCTGCCCTCCAGCCCCGCTGTGGCTGCGGCTCCCCGCGGCCGCCCCGCCGCTGCCACCGCCGCCTCCTCGTCCTCCTCCTCCTCCTCGTCGTCGTCGCCCCGCGGGCAGCGCGGCGAGGCGGCCAGGCGGGCGGCGCAGCACACGCCCAGCCAGCCGGGGGCGAAGCCGCAGCCGGGCGGCTCCAGCCCCGCTCCCAGCCCCAGCAGCGGCTCCACCGACACCGACACCGTGTCCCGGCCGCCTTCAGCCCACTCGGCGGCCCGCGGCAGGCTCATGGCGACGCCGCCTCAGCGAGAGCCCATGCGGGGGTGCGGGTGTGTGTGTGTGTGGTGGAGGGGGGACGACGACAGCGATCGTTGAGGGCGGCGGTTGGCAGCGCGCGTGGCGCCCTCCCTCCCGCTCGCCCGCCCGCCCGTCTCCGGTGTCGGCCGCGCGCCGCGCCCCCCTTTAAGGCGGCGGCGGCGGCACGCGCCGGGGTCCCGTCCCGCGCACGGCCCCCGCGCGCCCCGGCCCTCGCGCCCGCCCTCGCGCCGGTCGCGTGGCGGGGCGGCCAATGGCGCGGGGCGGGGAGGGGCGGGCGGGAAAGGGGGGGGCGGGAGGGAGGGGGGGGGAGCGGCACGCGCGGCGCCTGACGGAGCCTCACGGAGCGCGGCGGGGCCGGGGCTGAGGTAAAAGTGAGCGGTGAGGGGGCGGCGGGGGCTCATTGTGTATGCGGCGCTTTTCTCTCGCTCTTTTTCCCCCTCTCTTTGTATGTTGGAGCCTACTTGAGTTTCTTTTTTTCTTTTTTTTCCTCTCCTTTTGTAGGAGTTGTTTCTTTTGAAGCGGGGCGAGGCACGCCCTGCCGCCACGGGGACCTGACGGGAGGCGGAAACCCAGCGCACCGGCCCCAAAACGCCGGCCCCACAATAGCAGCGATGTGGGGAGCCTCCCAGAAAAGCCTCCAAGGCCTTCAAGGGAAAGCCAACTGCACGGATCTCCCCGTCTTCATGCAAACTTCCCTCCTCCCCCCAGGCTGGTTCAGGCAGCAACGTGGGGTCAGGCACAGAAAAACAGGTTACAAAAAGGAAGGGGGGGGGAAACTTGCAAAAAAAGCCTCCTCTATCATTACAGGCAGAGACACTTCCAAGCACACAAAGCGCATGGGTCAGCCCTCGGCTTAATTGTACCCAACGGTCTAATTACTCATTCAATCACGTTTCAGGATCAGCGGGCTGCTCGGCAGGCACCGCCGCAGATTAGGAAGTATCTGGTTCCTGCCTTGCCCCACTTTCTCCTCCTTTCCCTTCAAAAAAGCCAGCAGAACCCTCTCCATGCCTCTCCCGGCAGGGCGAGCTGCTCTTTGGGCAGCGCAGTGCACAAGCAGGTAGAGAGCACGTCCTCAGGGTCACCGACCAAAGTCATGCACAGGTCTCCAGCACTGGGATGGCAAACCCCAGCCAGACCTCACAAACCTGCACCTGTGGTGAGCTGCAGCAAATATGTAAAGAGACTGTCCAGCCTGATGGTTTTTGGCCTCACCTGCTGCATCATCGGAACAGTCACCCAAAGTGTTAATTGTCACATTATTCTGAACACGTGAGCTTAAAGCAGATCAGGGTCCAAGAAGTCCCTCTACAGACTCCCACTATGATCAGCACACGGTACTTTTACTTTCAGAAGTGTTTTAAATATGAATCAGAAGCGATGACTGTGAGGAATGCAAAAGCTCAGTTACTCAGCCCATCACCGCAGCCTCCAACACGCGTGAAACCTGCCCTTTTCCACTCGCTTTTCACCCATGGGTAAGGAGGACCACGCTGCCACCAACACAGACATGCCCCAGGTCTGCAAAGCAATCTTCCTCAGTGGATCACTGCAAAATGTCACCTGCTTTGAGTAGGTGAGCACCCACAAAAGTAATTCCTGCTTCCTGGTGACGTTTGCCCCTGTAAAGATCTGGGGCAGAACCACACTCGGGGTCTAACGTTCCCCCAAGAGACGTGCAAAGCATCGTTCAGCAGTACTTACCTACCCCCTGGGGCCACTGTCCAGCACAATGAATTCAGCTGCATCATATATTTGGAAATCTTACCTGGAGAATGTATACCTATGTCCGCTTCGCCCTTTTATTTAAGATGCTCTAACTGTTGCTGAGAATTTAATTTATGCTGATATTTTTAAAATAAACTGCTTTCTATTCATGGAAGTATCACTAATGATTTTCTTTCAGTCACTGTTTTAAACACTTTGTGGCATGGAAACTGCAACCCAGAGACCCAGCAACAGGTGGAGACCATCAGGTAGCTCCTGGATTAGGGTCTGCATTACAGAGTACGCACCAGAACGTGCAGTGCTGGGGGAAGAAGAGTGAACAGCTTCAGAAAAAGTATACCTTGCACAGCATTGGAAGGTTTTTGTTGCGATGAAAAAATGCTTTAATGCAATAAGAGCATGAGTATCAGGCCCAAGGGACATGTTCATGTCACAGGCTTTATACCTCTGCATAAATTGATTTAACTTTTTATAACTTCATTTCCTCACACCTGTAATAGTGATCTTATTCCAGATTTAGTTTGCTTGCCCTCTGCGGCAGCAAGAACTTTGCTGGGCCTGCGTGTGCTCAGACACGCTACCCACAAGTCCATGTCCCAGTCACCTGAAATGAGCGAACAACAAAAGAACTGTCTCCTGCATTAAGACACTGCTGGTAGAAAGTGTTTTAAAAGCAACTGCTGTCTAGCATGCTGCTACTTAATACATTTTACTAAATCCCTTAACCAGTAAAATGACCACTGCCATCAAGTTTTAGTATGAGAACACCTCCATCTGGTTTAAGATACAAGAATTAACATCCACCCATCCATCCACCCTCCCACCCATCCACCCAACATCCACAGAGACAACATATCCCCTTCAAATTACATCTGGTCAGTTCCCATTTCTATCAGTGATAGCAGTCCCTCTAAATGACAAAAAACAAGTGGACAGATGCACCGGGTGCTGATCAACATTTACATCACTCCCCCAGATTACAGAGTACTTCCCCACAAAAAGGAAACACCTGTCAGCCAAGAAGAACCCACCTCTCCATCCACAGGAGGTCCTCAGCCAATTCTGTTAATCCCTGACAGCAAAGAGGTGTCCCAGGAACAAGCTTTCCAGCACTGTGCAAGCTCCAACTCAGTGTTCAGAAGCCACTGGTGGGGGTGGCTGTGAAAACCAGCCCCTCTGAATGACGCCTTCATCTGCCTACTGTCTCTTAAATTAGCATTCCTTGAGTCTTAAGAATTTTTAAACACTTGTTAATAAAGTAGAACTAGGATACTAATTGTACTAGTTCTTTTCCACGATGTGTCCAAGCTGACAACTGACCGCCTCGGTAGAGCGTTGCTTGCAATACGTGCCCTGGATGGTCTCACCACTCGTGTTCAGAGACAGGAGACGCTCGGTGACAGTCCTGGAGCTCGTGCAAAGCAGTTCTCCTGTGCCAGCAGGCTCACTAAAAGCCTCTCTGTGGCAAGACCTGTCCCTCTGGCATAGCCTGGCCTTGCAGTTCTGTTTGCCCTGAAGCTGGAGGAAGACGTGGTTCATAGGCACTGTTATTCCCAGGGTGTTTTCAGCTTGGTACAAGGTTTAGGAGCTCCCACGGGGAGAGGACTACCTGGTGTCCCATCTGTGGGATGCAAGGCCCACGTCAAGGGCAGGCTGCTGGGGCCAGGCACCTGCGAGCTGTCACCAGCTGCCCCCAGTTTCCACTGGGCTAGCTGCAGAGTGCTTGCAGCCCATGTAGCAAACTGTATAGAGGTCACAGAAACGTATAGTGCGAGGCTGTGTATGTATGTAGGTATATAATGTATGGCTGTGGAGGGAGGGAAGGCACGAGCACCATCCAACGCAGCACCACACAGCAGCACCAAGCGCTTTGCCAAACGAAAGCCGTGCGTTGCCACACACCCCTCGATGCCCTGCCAGGGGCACGAGTGAGAACGGCAGGATTTAAGGGAAAAATCATGGAGCGACTGACACTTTTCTGGCCGGAGGGCAGCGGGGGCTCCTGCCCGGCGACGCCGCCAAGCCCCGAGCCCGTTCCCTGCCCGGCCTCGTCCCCCGCAGCCCCCCGGGCGGGTTGTGCGGCCCGGGGCCGTCCCCCTGCGCACAACAGGTTGGATATTGTAGGTGTGGGTTATTAAAGTGTCCCCGGCACAATGGCGGTCTGTGTCCCATTCGCCACGCTTGGGCTCCCCTTTGCAAAGCGCACACAAGAGGTGACACGCCGCTGGCCCCCGCCATTATCCCGCCGGCATAGCGGCGCGGGCCGCCCGGTCTCCCGGGAAATGGCGCTGCGCGGGCGCCCAGCGGCACCGGCGGGGACACCGCGGCCGCGCACGGCCCCCTCACGGCTCCCTCACGGAGCCCGGGGACGGCCCCGGCCCTCGGCAGAGCCCGGGCGGTGCCGCAGCGACACCCGCTGGGCGGCGGCGGAGCCGTGACGGGAGCCATGCTCAGCCCTGAGGCGCTCCTGAGGCGCTCCCGGGGCTGAGGCGATGTCCCTGAGGCAGCCCCGCTGAGTGGGAGTTGAGCCCCTTCAGCCTGGTGCTGCTTTTGTATGAAGGTTTCACCAAATTTTAGGCAAAACTCTCTGTGAGGGAAAAACGTCCAGCTAGGTGCTGCACGTAGCCAGCAGTCTCTTGGGGTTTGGGGCTTCCAACTACAGCAACAGAGTGCCTTAATACTGGGTTTCACCCCCCCACCACCACCTTTGTTTCTATTTTAAGTGGTCACCACACACTCGAGAAGGTGAAGGGACACAAAACATACACGAAAACACTGTGCCAGCTATTTTCTTCCTCACATGTGCTCCATGTTAACCCCAGCAAAGGGCGATATGCCACAGCATACCATGACCATGTACCACAGTAATAACAACCTGCCAGCACTGGCTGTGAGTTTGAGAAGGAAAGCTGCTTGTATTTTATGGCATAAGTATTTAGAAATACTCGTGCAAATCGGTTTTTCCCTTCTAACCCACTCTAACAGGCCTAGTGTGGATTTGAGCAGGCCTGTGTTTGTCATATAACGCAGCAAGCCTTTACTGCTGAAGACTGCATGAAGGGATTTGTTAAAAGTCAGGTTTACAGGTGTACGACCTCTCCTTGTACCCATCTTTCACCTCGGTGTAGGAAGAACAAAGCTCCCTGTGTCCCATATCAGCTGTACCTTGGGTATTGCAGCTATCCTAGCAGGATTTTTTATTTTGGATCAAGTGAAGTGGTTTTTTTTGGGGAACTCCGTTCTTCGAGGAAAGAGGGTGGGGAAAAGTGAGAAGAGAACATCACCTGCCATCCCCCAGATCTGCAGAGATCCAAAACCAATCCAAGCAACAGCAGAAATGGCTCGGAGAGGCCTGTAAAAGCTGGAGCAAGACAAGCCACCTCCCTGTTGCCTAAGCACTGTCTCATAAAGCAGCACATTTTCCTACTACATCAGTTTCTTGCTGTGGGTACCATCACGCTGCAGAGACTTTTCCTTAAAATTGTGTCACAGTGTGGGAATAGCAAGCAGCCTCATTACGAGCATTGATCACAGCATTTGCTTGCTTTCTCCCATTGCTGCGCGTAAGCAAAAGGATTAATTAGTAACAACACAGGTCAACGGTGATTGCTCCTACTGTGCTCTGCAGCAAAGAGCCTTACACAGGGAATGATCAAAACCAAACCAGACCACCCCACGGTGCATTTGCAGGGCTGTGATCCGCTCACACAGCTGCCTATTCCCCCTTTTTTGTTTTATTTCCAGCAGGCACATTACATTTACTGCCTCCACACCAGGCTACCAGGCCAAACGCTTGCAGCAGCGCCTTCTGCCTGCCGCTGGGGGGGGGGTCCCTCTGCAATGGGCACAAGCAACACCTCTGAGCCTTTGCCCCACCTGAATCTACCTTTTGCTGCCATTCAATTCCCTGCTCGTAGAAGGAGCAAGCAAGCAGCTGAAACACAGCTTGCCCAGCCACAGAGCACTTACCTGGAGGGCTGGGGCTGTAATGCCAAGAGGGTAGAGAGCTGTAAAAGCAAACCTGCCTGTTCCACATCTGCATGGGCTGCGCCTTAGCCTCCAGAAGCCAAGTTATTTTGCTGCTACAGTGGCTGCAGTATGGGCCAAAAGAATCAGGAAAGCACCTGCAGCGCTGTGATTGCTTGGGAGCTCAGTGACTGCCTAATGAAGGCAGGCATGTGCCCCCCACCCTTTCTTTATTAATTAACGAGTTTGTCTTAAACTCCCTTTCTTACTTTATTTGTATCTTGAGGGAGGTGGTGGTCAGACTTGTGATGACTGATAGCTGGAGTATTCCCTGCTCCAAAGTGGTGATAAAGAATAAGGGATTGCTGTGGAATGTCAAAAAAAAAAAAATAAAAATGAACAGCTTTATTCACAACACTATCAAATCCAGCTGCCAGCCATCGTCACAATGCAAATAAAGCTGCTTTAAATATATATATATATATATATATATATATATATATAATTATTATTATTAGCAGGCCACAGCACTCTTGTACTAACCTGGAGACCGGCTTGATTGGCTTTCAGAGGTCTCATACCTTGTTCTTGTCCCCCCTCCTCTGTCCCCATTGCCCTCGCCACCTTGGTGCTGATCAGGAAGGTACTGCAAGTCACGTTGTAGTCATTAATGCCATCGTAGGCAGCTCTTTCTGTGAATGAACCCTCGGTTTCTCAGTCTGGCATAGCCAAAGCCTGTCCAAATTCTTTATTTTATTTTTATTTATTTTGTCCGTCCCCCCCCCTTTTTTTTAAGAGGCCAGAATTGATCTGAAAAATGGTGTCTCTGTCCTGTGAATGGGACAAACATTGCCTCTTCTCACTTCCAGCCCACGTGGGTGGTGCAAAACCTGCCTGTTCCTTGGTTCCCTGCTTTCCTCTCATTTCTCTTCCTTCCCTGAGCAATCAAGGAGGAAGGATTTATTTTTCCCCTGTTTTACCTGGAGCCCAGTAGTTAATTACTTTAGAATTCAGTTTTCTGGCTGTAATATTTTTGTTCCTTCTAATGAATGTTACAGAAATAAATTCTGTAGCACATGCAAAGTGTCATACCGCTGTGATGAATGGGAAAGGGGGGGCAGATTTTGAAAATCTTGACAGATAGAAAATTTATTTTTATAACTCTGCTTCTTGAAAGGTAATTCTTCATGAAATTCATGTCTCCTGTAATTTTTTTAGGGTATCTGTGAGAGTTTTTATGGTTAGGAATTCATTAGGCTATGAATCACTTTACCTGCACTCATCTTCCTCGGGAGGCTTTGACTTTTGGCTTCATGTACAGTATCAC